CACTCTTTGCTAAAATGGTCCCTATCGTTTTAAAATTGGCATTTGTACCCTTATTTCAAATGTTTCTTGCGGAATTGGTCATTCCATCCATAAACCGTTAAACATCCGTTAAAACCTTTTGGTAATTTGCAAAAATGGTCCCTATAGAATATAATTTAATATAATTTTGGAACGACCTGCTTCGACGAGTGGTAACTTTCGCCACGGTTGGCCGTTTCGCACGCCGTTAGGGATGGGAGAAACTAGGTCATGAGCACTTCGAAATGGTATTAAAATATAATATTTCGACTTCGTTTGACTTCCTGTAATAATCTCGCAAAATGGAGACAAAAAAATAAGAAAAATCGTTTATATATTTGGGAATGACCTGCTTCAACGAGTGGTAACTTTCGCTACGGTTGGCCGTTTCGCACGCCGTTAAGGATGGGAGAAACTAGGTCATGAGCACTTCGAAATGGTATTAAAAATGTAATATTTCGACTTCGTTTGACTTCNCAATATATCCAAGAAGGTCGTAGCCTATAAAAAGAGTTTGAAACTGAAGTTTCCAAGAGACATAGTTGCTGGTAGTGAGTTTGAGTGGGGCTTGAGCAGAGGTGTTGATGGTGATGAGTTGATATTCAGTGGTATGGAGAGTGGTTGAATTTGTTGGAGTGGTTGTGATTGTGGGATAGGAGGAGTTCGGAGTGTCCGGCGAAGTGGTTGGAGTAGTCATTATAGAGTATAGAGGAAGAGAAAAAACTGGAGTTTTTCAATGGGAAGAAAGGTGCTCTGATACCATAAACAACGATGGGCAGAAGCTCATAGTTTTCATTACTATTGAAAGAATTATATAATACAAGTTGTAACAAAGGATCCTAAATATAAGGCTATAGCTCAGAGATAGCTCAGAGATATTTACATTTGAATATTCAAAAATAACTAATCAAACAAACTAAGGGATAACAACAAAAGTCAAGGAGAACAGCTGTCATCTAATATGCTCCCTCAAGATAGGCCACGGGATGAGAGGCCAATCTTGACTTTGAGAGATTGAAATTTGGAACGAGGCAANAAGGAGAACAGCTGTCATCTAATACTCAAGAACGAGAAGCAGATGGCCGAACTCAAGTTGTTGCTCAAGGAGAAAAATAAAGAGGCAAGCTTAGATTTTGATGATTAAAACCCAATAGACGTATCATACGTCTTTTTTAAATAATATTTTTTATACGAGCTTTGCTCATTTAGTAAGAGAGCTTAAAATCAAGCTTGAGAAATCTAATTGTCGAGTGAAGCTACTTGTCCACACTTACTGATTTTGTGATATTTTAATTTAGGGCTTTTTCGATTAGAGAGTTTATGTATAGATTGTGAAAAGCAGAGTGTCAGGAAATAGATTTTTTGATTTCTCAAAAGGCTGAAATGAGTGACCTCTGCACATTGGCTTCTTGTCTTTTATGTATGTTGTTATGAGATTTATGGAAAAATTGGTTCTCTTTATGAGTATTTTGACAAGTTTGAAACGAGTTTAGTTTAAAGCGGAAAGCATAGTTCTGCATTTCTTTACTGGAAAAACCAGCAAGGTAGTAAATCTCAATTTTTTTGGTTTTCACTAGTAATTCAGCAATGGAGGACAAATCAATTTTTTTCTGCTGTATATTAGTAAGTTGAAGCTTGATTTCAAAGTGATTCATTAGATCTTGTGAACCAAGCGAGGTTTTAGCATTAAAGAAGTTAATAATGAAGAATTTGTTAATTGTTCCATTATAACTATAATTTTTTTTCGTGTTTCTTTTCATTACTACTCACTTCGGGATTTGTCTTTTGATGCTTTCTTCTTAGTAACAAAGAATTAGCTATCTTATCATCTTGATGAAGCTTATGAATTTGTTTTAATGAACTTGTTTTTAGTAACTTTTTTACAAGCACTAGAATTAATGGTTCATATTGTACCTTTATCGGGGTGGAAGTAGTTGATGAGCCTGTGCATTCTTCCTATACAGTTGACAAAAAATAGATCTTTTCGATGTCTATGACTATAGTATAGTGGCTGTAAAGCTGTCATCTTTATACAAATTTGTTCTTAGATTTCATGCTTTAAATTTTTCGAAAAATTCATCAGGCATCTTTATACAAATATGAGAGTGATGCGTTCTATGCTTTAAACTCAATGATATGATCCTAATAAGGTAAATGCGTATCCATATGTCGAGCTTTCTTGCTTCATTTGGTATAATAATCAAAATAATCTATGACTCCTATTCACTTTACAGGTAATTGTCAAGATGAAAGTTCTTTTAGGGTCGAAAGATGGAGTTATAGCTCCTGAAGCCAAGAGAGCTCAAGTACATTAGGTTGTTCTCGTCAAGTAGGATATGTTTATATGTATTACATTTTATTTTCCTTCCCTGGAAGAAGAGTACTCCATTTTATTTGACCTGACTTTTAATGCTAACATAATAAAGTGAAATGTCTCTTTTAACGGTTTGCTTACTGACACAGGTTTTGGGAGGCTTTGATTCAAAAAGTTACATTACTGAAAGGTAATGGGCTACTGCTCTGGATGGAACTCAGATACCCACAATAGGGGGCCGCACGCAAGGACTTGGTGTGGAAATAGCCAAATTCCAGATAAATAGCATGAAATGCAATCTGACGTGATGTTTCATATAAAATAAATCAATTAATATCTTCATTCCCACTATTAATTAGTACGTTTGGCGTAGAGCGAGGAGGTGGGTATGATTGTTGCGGGTGTATAATATATTTTTAAATTTAAAAAACGTAATTATAACTTGATTTTTTAGTAAAAAAATTGTTAATACCTTATTATTAAATTTGAAACTTGAAGACTAGGATTGTGGTAATTTTCCCTTTCATTTGTATGTTGTTGAATATCAAAAGTGGTTCAAACAACTTGAGAGTCTTAGACAAAGTCGCTAAGGGGTACTAAAAATTAAAGGAGAAATGGTCATTCATGGAAATTTAGTTAGTGATCGTCGATAATATGAGTGTTGGATATTTTGGTTCCAATCAATATTAGGTGGTGATTTAGACGAAATTATCAACAACATTACCGTTAGTGATCATCGACACAACTTAGTTGAGACAGTGATATTGTCGGAAATCGTCGATAATGCTTCAGTCATCGATGAAAGGCTATCGATGATTATCTTCAGTATAAGTGTTGGTAATTCTCCTTCGACGGATATTATCGACAACAACGTTGTCAGTAATGTTGTTAGTTATCATCAACGGTGCTTCAGTCAACAATGAAAAACTATCAATTACTCAAAAAATTATTCTTTCTAGTTTTTTCTAAGATAGCCAGTAACACATAAGTTAAAATATCTTATTTTTTCTTTGTAATGGTGCAGACTTATAAATTATATTACTTTATTTTGTTTCTCAAGGAATTTTTTGTTAGTATTTAATTTTTAAATTTTTTTAATTTACAAGATTTTTCTTTTGTAAAATAATTTTTTAGATTATTTATGTTTTTATAATTACTAACTAAAATAGTGATTGTAATGGTCGAATTGGATTTTATGGAAGCTTGATTAGGTTGTTGTTCTCTTATGCTGAATTTGAGCAGTAGTTTGGATCTTAGGAATATGCAATTATGAATTAAAAATTGTATTTCTAATTTCTTATGAGAATTATAGTTTATGGGCTTAAAGAGGGGAAAAATAATATGTTCCCTTTTAAGGAGTTTCCTCGTATTGAATAATATACGACACATATAATTGGCATATTTGGAAAATATAAGGGGGAGTATCCTATTACATGTGCACAAAAGAGGTTAGTTACCTATTCCTTTTGGATGTAGGAAACAAATAAACTCACTCGTGTAACACAGGACAAACAAATTAATTCATATTCCCAATGTGACATTATAATTTCAATTCTTATTCAATCCTTTCAGGTCTTGCTGGATGACAAGGTTGGCACAGAATGGGTTCTGCCAGCTAGAAAATGGTTGTGAAGATGCAAGATTTATGATATTCTAGTCCTCTCATGGAAGTCGTGTCCGTCCCCAACATCCTCTCGTGCCTTTTTATATTTCATATTTGGGCAACAGAAACTTTTGCCTGGTAATGCAAAGCCAAGGAGGCCATCAAAAAGACACTGAGCATTATTGTAAACTTAAAAAGTGTCGGGTTTACTTTTAAGTAAATAATATTTTATCAATCAATTTTGAATATAGACTACTTGTTCTAATAATAAATAAGAATTCTTTTTTTTTTTTCGATTAAAAAAAATGAAGAGTTTTTTGAAAAATAAGTAGCTTTTATTATTTATAAGTAAGAAAAGTAACTTGAATGTATGTTTTCGTTAATTTTTGACACATGGAACGAAACCACCTCCATGGCACAACTCCTACTCATGCTTTTTAATTAAGAAATCTCTGAACAAGAGATAGGACAAGATGGCGGTGATATGGACACTAACCACACACCAAATTTTAAATATAAGATTTTGTTCAATATCATTCCAAGATTTTCAAAAAAATTCTTAATAGTTTTCAATTTTGCTTCTACAATTAAAATTTTTCTTAACTTGCTTCCACAGTTTTACAATCCTAGCTCCGCCCTCCATTAGTCTCATGTTGGGATAACTTCTCCATCTGCTTTTTGTAGAAGAGTAAACTGAATAAGTCACATTGGACCTAAAAAGTAAGCAACTTCTTAGTTTTGAAAATAACTTTCGACCTTTCAAAAGTCCTACAAAACGAATCCTTAACAGTCATGATATTTGAGAATCCATTCTAGAAGCCTGTTCAAATCTACGAGCAAATGGGAAGAAAATGTATAATCCTATTTGTAGTGTGCGTGCCAGGAGTACTAACTATTAAAGTCGACATGGATAAACTGAAGTTTTCATTCTAGCAAAAAAGCCTACAGTCATGGACATTTTCACACATCAACAAAATCATTTTGCACCATTTTCGACCTACAACAAAGGATGCATCTAGTACCCACTTTGTGTTTATGTTTACAAAGAAACGAACCGCCTTTAAATCAAGTTTCAGGGTGCAAGTAGTCATGTCCCACTATTGAGGCACTTCTAAGAATGACCTCAAAGCTCTGAGCATAAGCATTTGAATACACCATTAAAGCTTGAAACACGTTGGGAAGGCTTGTTCGTAGGTTGTTCAGAATCATGGTTTGGGTCGTTTGGACAGATTTACAGTACTTGGCCTTCTCTTCATCCACTATTCTCTTTAGGGCATTGAGTTTAGCACGCCTAGTTGGTAACTGGTTCTTTGAGGTCAAGGCAGAATTTATATCTTCAGTAGAGAGGCTGCCCTTGAACTTCATTTCCACTTCTGAAAGAGAAGTAAGTTTCCTTTCCAATTTTCTTCCTAGCTTATCAGATCTTTTACGCAGATTGATTTCCACGTGCTGCTGCAAGACTATTGAGTGAACAGCTGATAATAGACTCTTAATGGCCTCCGATACCATCTGACGACAAGATGAGAACAACAGTTTTCATGTCAATTTATTGTGTCATGGAGGAAAAATATTATACACAACAAATTATTCATCACAATTAATTTCTTATGGGATGGCATTATAAAAGTTAAAAATTTCCAAATGGTGGTGTATCAAGCGCATGGGGAAGACGCACTATACTCCATTCACACACCAGATCCAAACTCCATTTTCTAGTGAAATCGGCAAGCAGAAGGTTCCATTCTCAGGGGCATATTACGTAGGATCACCATCAATCTACAGTTCTTATTTGTAAGAGTCACCTCATACGGTTCCAGTTTCTCCCTATTGAAGATAATTTAGATAAATAAAAATGTCCCTTCTCCAAGGTCTTAAGACTTTAGATGAGGTTACAACATAGTATCGAAGTAGGCAGAGGTCCTTGGTTCAAATCTCACAGTGCGCATTTATAAAAAAATTGCTTAGGTCTTTTGATTGAAAAATTAATCTGGCTACACGTAAGAGATCGAAGATAATTTCAATAAATAAATTTGTCACCTTGCTTACAACTTAAAATTTTAGATGAGGTGCTTCAAGGAGTGAGGAGGAAGAAAGTGAAGGTAAAACCTCATTTCGAGAAGCTTATAATAGTTAAGCCAGTGAAAAATTTGAAGATCTTCAAGGGAAAATGAAATTGAAGAAAACAGAGGCACCTTATCAGGTAATTTATCAAGTGCAAGCAGCCATTCTTCAGCAAGGGCATGAGCATGCACCAATGATGAGTTACCACATCCGTCAACATCTTTAAGGCAGTCAGTCCGTTCAGTCCATTTGCAGAGAGCTCTTACATATTCTTGCTGATATTTTATGAGTTTGCAGAAACTGTTGTGCCAAGAAGTCACTTCTGTTTTTAGCTGAGCTGCAGCCTGCCGATGGTATTCACTACTAAATTCCGTGTTTTGCTGATTTGCTAAATGATTCAGCTGCAGAGATATATGATTCTGGACTTGATGGCAGTTGTACAGAGTTTGCCACAAATGCATCAATCTGGAAAAAACAGAGAGTTATTGTACGGCACAATAGGAAACCATGCTTTTTTAGAATCCTTGGCAATACTAGTTGAGATAATGGAGGTATTCTCCATAAAAGCTATTGCAACCGGGTTCAGTTTCATATATGACAGCCTTTCAAATCGATTCTTTGCTGTTTAAAATTCTCCTGCTTTTATTGAACCCTAAAGAGGCTCCGGATAATAAGAGTGACGCTGCTTAGTAGAGAAAGTCAGAGGAGGGAGGGTTTGACCAAATCTAACATGACAAGATGCAGTTGTTAAGTATATAGCTTTCTTTAAAGAGTATATCTAGCAACGAACTGAATCAAATAGCAAATGATTCATGTAATTATCTATCAACTTCATCTAAAGTGGAAATCAAACGCCCAACCTAGCTTTCCTTTAATTCCTCTTCCTAATTATAAATGGGATAACAATGAAGAACATACCCATTAAAACTTATTTCAAGCTATCAAGGGTTGTGATCTCAGCAATTCACTCAATTATCAATGTAAATAGTATAAGACTTAAATGAAGGTAGGGTTTTATAATTTCAGTGACTTTACCCAGAAGATAGTGCAATCAGCTGAGGGTGGAGCTCCTCGTTTATTAGCTTTAATATGGTTGAGTGAGACTGACAGATTGATTGTTGCAGAGATAAGATGTAAGACTGCAAACTTTCAACTGCTGAACGAGTTTTTCCAGATTTAGCCAAATCGTGCTCGTCCTCTTGTTTATCTAGAGATGAAGATTTTCTATGGTGCTCCACCCTGGCATTCTCTTCCTCCTACAAGATATCTTAATTTAGGTCAGAGAAAGAACCATAAATCATCTACACAGAAAAAATTGAATATCAAAAGAATCCCAAAAAGAAGCGTGATATGATCTCTTTGTCAAACTCTAGACTATATGTATGTGGACTGTAGTGCAAACCTACTTCAATTTTCTTCGTTCAACGATCATATTTCTCCTAATTTTTAGATTAATGTAAGAGCCAATTTAAGATGGAGTCAACATGAAATGGACATATTAATCTAAAAAATTATAGCCTCTTATCTCTGTTAATTTATACTCAACCAGTGAACAGTCACCATGCATAAGAGATACAGTCCAAACTAGCATAACAGAATAGAAGTTACAGTATTATTTGGCTGCGGAGTATTTACATAATTTAGAAAACAATAATCACCTTGACTGCCTTGTAGAGCTTCTGCTCCTCCACATAAAGTTTTTGGAGGGTGATACAATGAGCTCCAGGCTTACACGGCTCACCAGAGACGTAGACCTCTCCAGTGTCTCTTGTAGAGCGAAATGATTTAGTATACCAACTCCATGCCAGGGAGCTAAAGACTTTTGCTGAACTGCTTCTGTTCCCTGAAAATGTTGCACTTAGTGTGAGCTCCAGTTAAGTTTATGGCTATAGTGTTTGGTGTATTGAGAGTGTAAGCATTGAGCAAATTCGTGTGTGGCGTACATGTGCATACATGTAAAACAGGTTGCACAACAAAATTAAAAGTGGAAAGCAAAATCGTATTACCAATTAATAAACATGACATTGATCCAGAAATAAAATAAAGAGAGCAGAATTTGACTAGCTTTAATTGATTATTGCACCTATCAAATCTTACCCTCCTCCCCCAGCACACAAGAAAAGACTGAGTCAGCATTCTTCAGTTTGAGATATTAGGATGGAACAGAACGTGGAATACAGCTTGGTCTTTAGGGGAAATTGGTAGATATTGGCACTATAGACAGAATCAGATCCTCCAAAAAGCAAAATATGTTTATGTGCCTGTTATGAGCAACCACACATAAAGATCTTTTCTCATCTCTCCTAGTTGCAACTTTTTACTAAATCAATTCACTCAAACCCCAACATAACCTCGTCCAGGAATATATTTTAAGAACAGAAGGATAAACAAATAGAGGCAAAACTAGTAAGTACAAGACATAAAGAAATGTTAAAAAATGACGATGCACCATGCACTGATAAAAATTTCCATTGCATTGGGCTTCGCTTCAATAACTGATAGCAGTTGATATTTAGACCAAATTTTTAGTCGGAAGAAGTTACTGAAATTCCAGTAAATACTGATCAAAGTGATTTAATGAAATGTCTCTGTGACACCCACAACATTGGGGAGCTCGTAATCTATCATCAGCCAACCAAAAGAAGAATCCCATCAACAAATGCTTAAAGGGAAGGAAGGACGAAACTTTTTTAATGCCAGGAAACACACACACAGCACACAAATGAGAAAATATAACAGTGCCATAATGATAATGGGCCATCAATATAGATTTCAGGAATTGGCTATGTCCATCTTGATTGGCCCTTCACCGGTCATCCATAGGCCAAGTAATTCTGTATTTTGCAATATTTTCCAGTTTGATCAAATAGAAGAAATGACAGTTGTTCTTTCTGGAAGAATCGATAGGCAAGGATGAAAAATTACGAATTCAACGACACAAGGGTCCCTTGAAATTTAAAGAAGAAAATATGTGCTAAACTAGAAGGTTGAAGATGGTAGGCAAGAATAGAAGACATGAGACACCAAAGAAAAATGAAGACCACAGCAAAGTCTCTGATGAGTCCACTCAAAGAAATAGAACTAAATAATATATGCTCTATCCAAGGTAAGTGTAGTCTTTTTTGTTTTCATTTTTTAAAGCAAAACACCAACACAGCCTCAGTAGGTTTTTAGGCTCCACCAAGTGTAGTCTTGAGTCCTAAGAATTGCACGTCTACAGAGAATATTTACAATCCATTGTTTTATATTAAGTGCATGTTCGGTACGCAGCAGTAAACAAGACTGGACAATACAATCAAAAAGATCGGAGCTTCAGTCTATTCTTTATATTGTCCAATAGTATCTAATCCTCCCAAATATATACAGCACCAAATGGAGTAACATGAATGTGACTTTTGTTTAAATTAGTAGGGAAGAAGAATTACTCTTGTTTTCTTTTACACTACGAAAAAGGAATACGTCGCCCATACTGATATCTACAAAAACAGCTATATCCTTCACTCCACCTGCTGCTTTCACAAAGTATTCATCCAAGTCCTTAGCAATACTGGTCAAGGTCTTACTCCGCCAAACAACCATAGCCTTATCTGCAGTACCCCTTGAATCCCAGCGCATCATTGATGAATCATCATCAACCAGTTCAACAGTCTGCTGCCTCCTGGAATGCATAACAACATTGCCAGTGGTAACAACATCATCCTCATCATCTTCTTCCACAAATTCAGTATTTGCCTCTTCCCAATTTTCCTCCTCAACCTGCTCCACATTGTCACAAATTCTATGACATTCAAACATGGAAGAAGCAAATGGATCCCAATATTCCCACGTAGAGTTAGGAACTGGAGGTGGTGGTGGGGTGTGACTACTCTCATCATCAACTTCTACTATTTCTCCATGTGCAACTTGAACCTTCAGGTGTTTCTCAAACTTTCTCAAATCGGGGCTGAAAGCAGGCGGAGGTGGAGGAGAACGTGGCAAATGGCTCGAAGAGGAAGGAGGCAATGCAGGAACAGAAGTGGGGTCCTCAAGTTCCAGTGACTCAGATTCAGTAAACTGCCTAAGGGTAACTCCAGTATTTTTCAACGATCTCAGGTATGCCAACTGAGCATTAGCAAATTCTTCCCGATATCTTAACAACTTTTTCATCAGCATCTTCCTCTCCTTGCAAATTCTCACCCTCTCTTCTTCATCAATTCTTGATGCAAAACAACCCATCTCTCCAAATTTAAAGATGGTAAATAAAATATCAAAGCAGCTGTATTTGGTACAATTCTACAACTCCAAGTCTTCAACATTCATGGTAAAAAATAATAGATTGTAACATATTCTCCATATCTCCATGAAACTATTGCAAATCATTCATCATCTTAATAAACAAAGTACTCTTCTAGTCAAACATAAATGAATGTACGATCCATGTACCACAAACGCCCCCCATAGCACCTCGAAAATGGCTTGTGAAGACTGACAACCCCCAAAACTCATATAAACTTCATCAAACATGTACATTCATTATGTTAAAAATCCAGCAACCAAGAAGAAGACCATAGAGAATTAAACAAATCTCTCAGCTCAAAAATCTGCAAAATTTACAAACTGAACAAAAATCTGTCAAGAAAATCCTCCAAATTGTTTCAACTTTTCCCTAAAATTCTCCAGATTCATAAAACAAAACACCATTTGCCAAAATCACTTCGCGATCCTCATCGCAACATGCATTGCCATTTAATGACCTCAATAAGCAAAATTTTACCACTGAAGCAAAGATGAACGTTACCAAAACCTTCCTGCTTCACTGCCTCAAAACCAAAGAATGACGCTTTCCTTCTTTTGTTTTTTCCTTTTGTTGGCAAAATCTTCAAAAATCCAATATTTTACGCAGAACAAGTACCAGAGTTCGCCAGATAATATTATTATTTCTTTTATCCTATAATAAAACAACTAAACAAGTACCGACAAGAAGCTGTCAGAGAAATCAAATACACAGTCTAAAGGTTTTGTTTGGGCGAACAGTGTAGTATTAAATGTTAAATTTTAATTTAAGTCAAAGTTTATAATTAATTTTAACCAAATATTTTATCAATTTTTATTCAAATCTGCTAAAAATCTGATTTTAAGCTCTACTAAACACGCTTAGAAAGAAAAGTCACCATATTGAAATTCATATAAAAAATAAAAATAGGTACTTTACTCAAGCTGGGTTCCTGTTTCCAGTTCCTTGCAATAGAAAGAGAGAACATCAAGAAAATTCAGGAGAAAGGGAAAGTGAGGGAAACAGAGACGAAGACTCGATTCCCAAGTAATAAGCATCCCAAGCACTGGAAGAAAGAGTTTTTCTTTTCTTTTTTCCTTTTTTCTTTCTTTCAGTAGCCATTGATTTAGCAGTAATTGCATTGTCAATAAAAATAAATAAATAAAATAAAATAAAATCCGGTCAATAAAAGAAAATGACAGCATCGCTACATGCAAGCTTTAATAAAAAGTTACATGTACAACATATGTGTTACAACATTGGTTACAACCTCTCACAAGGAATGTGGGCTCCGCGATTAAAATAATAGTGGGCCCACCTCGTGAGAAGTTGTAACCCAACATTGTACAAAGAGATTTTTCAATTTAGCCTAATTGACTAAGCCTTTTAAATTTTTTATTAAAATGTCTATATTACCCTTAATGATATAAATTTTTATGAATTACATAATATATCCTTCTTTTTCCAAAGGTCTAAACATTAGTCTTTATCTTATGTTTCTTCTATTTCTAATTATAATATATAGTTATATTCTATGATCTACCAAATTAGAGTAATCTGTAACATATTTATCATGTTCTTTGTTTAGTTTCTCATATTTTTCGAATAACATATCCATATTTTCCTTTTGATTTATGATTCTAATAAATTATCTAATCATTTTATAGTATATCATGACATTTTAAGCATTAACTGATTACAAAGCATGCATTATAACAAACATTAACATGAATAATCCATACGATTCTTTTAAGATCTTTAAGAAAATTATTTCCAAATTTAACAAAACTAATAGTTTTATCTTAGTTTTGATCTTTGATTTTTATTCTCAAAACAGAATGACCTTCAAATTTCTGGATCTGCAAACTACTCCCTTCAAAGGCTTCCTGCCTTCACGGGATCCTTGTTATTTCAGTTTTTGCTCTCACTATATTTTTCTAAAAATTAAAACTATAGATCTTAAATAAGGAAAACTTTCCTTTTGTTAAAGTAAGAAAGAAATCTTTCCTTTAATATTTCAAGAATCTATGGGAAAATTAGTTTAGAAACCCATTTACATTTGAGATGATTAGAATGTGAATGATCTATTCAAAATTTGTAGTATTGATATATTTGAATTTGATACAAGATTTGACATAAGGTTTTTGGCTTTCTCACAAAATTGAGTGCTCAAATTTGTTCTGATTTTCTTCTAACCCGAAGGTCTCTATTTATACAAGCTTATGAGACAAAAATATTGGCTTCTTACATCCTTGATTACATCATTCTCCAATTATGGAGTCTTATAAAAAATCTAACCACTAAATTATCGTGGCTCCATAATTGTATAAGAGAATCAACTTTTTTTCACATATTCTTTATCCAGGGCAACACCCTTTTATTATTGTTCTTCTAGTCCTACATCTTCACATGCAGTTTGGACACTCCCCCAATTAGCAAGATTTTTTTATAGTGGTAGGACATCCCGAGAATTGATGTATGTCAATTTTGTAATGTATTTGTTCAATGTCTCTGATTTTCCATATCCTCCATTGGTTAATAGCATACAATTTTCATATTGGCAAAGACATGAAAATTTTTTATTGTATAAATTTTTTACAATATTGTATATGGCTTTGATTCTAGTGATCTTCTACATTTTATCCATGACTTGGTTATCTCTAGCATTCTCTTCTCATTTTTCATGACATCTATGTTGAAGTTAGCTGCTACATATCCAATTGATATTATATGTTCAACCGGATAGTAAACAAATCCATCAAAATTTGGACTTATTGAGTAAAATTTTAAGTATACACTTCGTCCTCTAGAGAATTTTGACACTTCTTGTATGAACATGTCGTCAAATTTTGATAATTCTATCAATTTTTTTCCTGGATATATCAAATCCAAGAATCCATAGTCTACAATTGTTTTTATGAAAACAGGATCACCTCCTTCCATAGCTGTGACTCTGGGATAAACATTATGTCCCTGAGAGATTAAGTATGAATCATTGATCTTCATTTCATAGATCATTTAGACTATTGTGGCATATTTTTCTTCGTTTGTGTCCAAAGGGGTCATATCATTTTGGTCTATGATGCTGATTGTTCTGGAATCATTTTTATCTACTCGTATCGTCACTTTTTTTTTTTGATATTACTGGAAGAGCATCTCTTTTTTTATCGGTTGGTATGTTGTCACTTTTGGATCCACTACTGCTTCCCGCTATACCTGTTTGGTATTGAATTGGAAGACTAATTTCTGAGCTACTTGGTACTTCTGTCTCAAACAGTATATTTTTCAATTATGCTACAATAGCATCAACTTGATTTTTGAGTTCTATGGAATTTTTATGTTGTTTTGCAATGATATCCAACAATAGTTATATGTTTGAGTTGAATATCTCTGAGATCTGTACCGCTTCAGTATCTATGTCTTCAGATTCCTCTTTGAGGAAGTCAAGTCATCTTTTGTATATGAAGGACAAATTGATATAATTTCATGATCTTGTTCTTATCTATCAGCAAATTCCATGTTTCTGCTGAGGAAATCTACAAGATAATTATTTACACCTTTAATATGAACAATATCAAAATTATAAAAAGATAAATATGCTTGTCATCTGTGTAGTCTTCTATTTTGAGGCTCCATTGGTAACTTATTTCTCACTAATCCTACAACTTGAGAATTATCAGTTTCAACAATGAATTTTTTAGATAATAAGAATAATAAAAACTTTTTTATCATTCTAATTATTGCTAATAATTCTCTTTCATGAGTGGTATTATTTATCACTGCTTGATTGAAAGTTCCACTTGAATATTTGCAAATCTTATTTAAATCTTTTTAATATGGCTGTCCAATATTATCTGAGGCATCTGTATTAACGACTAAATTGTCTTTTTCATCTAGTAATCTTAATTTTGGTAGATTTTTACATTTTTCTTTTAATGATTTAACAATTTATGTATGTTCATCATTTAATATTTGTTTTTCTAAGTAAAATATGTATTTTATGTCTAATTTTTGAAAGATTTTCAATAAATCTGTCTGCATAATTTAGACATCCTAAGAACTTTTTGTATTTGTTTTTTAGATTCTAATTTATTTAGAAAACTATCTATCTTTTTAGATATATGAGTTTGTAATTTAATTCCTCTTTTATCTATTGTTAATCCAAGAAAATAAATCTCTTGTTTTTCTATGATAGCTTTCTTTTTGGAAAGAACAATTCCTTCTTTTTTACATTCATTTATAAATTGTATTAAATGATTTCTATGTTTTTCCTTACTATTAGAACATATTAATATATCATCAACATATACTATGAGAAATTTATTAAATTTTTCTAAATATATTATCCATTCTTCTTTGATATATCTGAGGTGTATTTTTTAATCCAAAAGGCATTACTATCAATTCATATTTGCCTTATGGTGTACTAAAGGTTGTATATTGTATACTATTTTCTTCCATTTTTATCTGCCAAAATCCTGATTTACAATCAAACTTAGAGGAGTGTTGTTTTCCTTTTACAAAGTTTATTACGACTTTTTTATTTGGTCAAAAGTATCCATCAAATCTAGTATACTTATTTAATTTTTTATAATTTATCACAATTCTGGTTTTTCCTCTAACTTGCTCAGAATATTTCATTACCATAAAGGCTGGACTACAATGGGTCAATTACTTGGTCTAATAAGTTTTTATTCTAATAGTTCTTTTATTTGGACTTTGAATTCTTGTGTATGTTATACAGTATACATCATTGATTTAATTCTTATAATTATATTTTCTGTTAATTCTAGTTTTGCTCTAAGATGGTATGGTTTCCAAAATATCAATGGATTTTCTCCATAAACGTTTTCTAATTGTTCTATAATTCTTTCTATACTTATATCTACTTCTGTTTTTTAGAACATTTTTTATACATTATTCTTTTATTTCTTATCTCATTATGCACAATTGATTTTTTTTT